TTATGAGTAAGACACAGCTCTTATGTGTAACACAGAACGGCTAGCACTGGCAAAACTGGAAGGCTGCACATTTTTCATTTAGAAATAATACCACTAAGATTTAAAAAAAAATCTTAAAGCAGAGAGTACTGAAGAAAAAAAGTCAAGTAAATACAGTGTGAGCTATCAATAAGGGAGCAAACTGGGTTTTCTAGAAAGCATATACTCCCCCTCCCCACAATCTGTTCAGACTAAGGAGAAATGGAGCCATAGGGGAGTGAAAACTTATCTATCAGAGCTGCCCAACAATGAGACACTGCACTGTGGGATGAAAACAGAACTGCTCTCATCCAATTAGGTGTTGTTTTGAGAAAAATAAGTAAAATTCTTCAACAAATTCCCTTCTTCTGAGCAAGAACTAGTTTCTTGACTTTCACCTTCAATTTATTTTTATTCAATCCCAAATTAAGTCTTTACAACCTGATGGAGACTTTCTTATTTGCCTTGAACCTGATAAAGTAAGAAAGGAAATGCTACTGTCTTCCCTAAGTACCACTCTATTACAGTGGCACAAACCTCACATGGAAAGGTAAAAGTATATTAAATAATAGAAACAGGAACAGATAAAAACTGAAAGCCAGAGATCACTGAAAGTGCATTTGTATATGAATGACATCCCAGAAGACACTGAGCAAAATCAGGAGTTCAGGGGATGGTGTCCTCTTAAAGAACCTCCCTCCACCACAATTCATAGAGACTAATACTGGTTCTCATCTCCCTAGAGACTACTGAACTGAAAAGCAGTAAAACTACAATTCTGAGGGAACAAGCTTTTGGTGCCTGAAGCTCTAGGAAGTTCAGTAAGAATTTTGAAGTCTCCCTGTATGGGAAGCAATTAGAACCTAGTAAAGGAAGCCTCTAAGTGAGGTTATAATTAAAAGAAATAAGCAAAGTGCCAGTTGATCTGTGGGGATCAGAGATTTCTATAGTTCCTTATTCTGGTTTTAATTCTTCTGTTTATTTGGGGTATAACTACTACTGCACCAGGTGACTTGCATTCTGAAATGGACAGAGGCCAGGAGGTCAAACACAGCTGCAAATTTGATTTTCCAATACATCTTACCAATAGAGCTGCATTTCAGTTAGAATTTTAATAGCCCTGAGAAAAATAAAATATAGGAAAAAGGAGATATACATAGGAGGAATCTAAAAATCAGCAGGTGAAATGAAGGCAAGACTGTACACACAACAAGAAATCAAAGTAGCACGAGAAAAGAAACATGATGGAACTAGTTCATTTAAAAAGAGAGGCAGAGGGAGTGAGGAACCATACCCAAAACCCTACTTCAACCAACAAAATAAAGGATGAGCCAAGACAGCTGTAATAATCCAAGACATTAAGCAACCAATGAAAGTACAGGTATTTCTGTCTTACTCAAATGACATTAAAACACTAGCACTAGCAAACCTGCTCCTGTAGGTGGCCTGAAAAGTAGAATCCATGTCAGTTATGTGAACAATGCACAGGTTGCTGCTTGTGAAATATTTTCCGAGAATACTTTTTAAATTAAATTTTATACCATAATGGTAACTCTTCAACATAATCTTTGATACACAACAGCTTGTGTGCAGTATCTTTTAAATCTAAAGCTACTTTCTCTGACTTTCTAGAACTCAAAAGTAGCACGTTAGTGTAAAAGAGATTTCTGCATACCTTTGTTTTCCTTTCTCATCCATATTTTGATCTTGTATAAGGTCTCGACGTGTTCGCTCTTTGGAGGTAGCAACAACAGAAGATGGCAACGCTGGCTACAAGAAAGAAAAACAAACTACTTTGTTCATCGTGCTGCAGGTGGGTTTCCTCTTGCACAGCTCCATTTACCACACATTACCTTTTTAATATCGTCATCCTCTGCGTCGCTTTCTTGGCGTGATTCTCTTCTTGTCCGACGTTCTCCACCCAGCCTGAGGAACAAAGCCAGTGGTCATTAGAGAACGTTTATTTAGGAGAGAATCCCTTCCAGCATAAGAAAAACACAAGCGTGTCTAGTTGGGAGAACCAACACTTGGGTGAAAATCTCCCCACTGTTCTAACAGCCAGTAAGTAACATTTTACAGAAAGAATCTATTGTTGATGAAAATCAATGAGACAGAACAGTTTAAATTTTAATACAACTTGCAGAGTAATAAAAACAGAAGAATCCACAAATACCATATTTAACTTTAAAAAATACATTTGGAAAATGTTTGTGCATTTCCAGAAACCTCTAAAATGGCTACTGGTATAAAGGGCTCACTAGACGGATTTAAATGCATTGACATGGAAAGGTTGGTACAATTTCTTAAACAGGAAATGCTGTTCAAATTACCTACCAAATGGGAGAGAGGCAGATGGATTAACACTTGAGACATGTATGAACTAAGGCTTTAAGAAAGAACAACTTAAAATAAATAATTTAAATCAAAGAAATCCTAATTTTCAGCTTTCCTTTTCAGATTTGTGGCACAGCAATTTCTTGTTTCCCAGCTTCATTTTCCACTAACTCAAAAATTCCAAAGCAAGCTTTGCTTTGGTTGAGAACTACCACTGCACATTAAGTGTGCACAGCACTTAAACTCACAATTATCACTCACATCTGATGGATTTGCAACCAGATGTGAAAGTTCAAAACCCGAGTCCATTGTCACATTGCCTGTATTCAATTTATTGAACAGGTCTCAGTCATAATGAAATTTGTGTTCACTGCAAACAAATGTCACAACTAAGAAGAATGTAATATAGCAGACTGTATGCCAAATAAAACCAAAAAATTACGAATACCTTTGTATTGCTATATCTTTATATTATTGCTACCATCTTTACATTGCTCTAAGGTAGAAAGAGATTTCATGGAGTGATTTGCTGTCACCCAAATTATTCCCAACAAGTCTTCAATAAGTAATCTCCAAAGAAGACAGTGGAAGTCCCCAGTTATTACCAGTTTTTTGCTTACTGTTACAAATTCTCATTCAGAAAGGCAAGTTGGCTGCATTAGTTTTTGCACTCACCTACTGGATGCACCTTCAAGATCCCTCTGTTTGGCTGGGGGTCCTCCTCCACTATCCGAGAATCCACGCCTAGAAAGAAAACACTTGTGGTCTTAGAACAAGTTAGGTTAATCCCTAGACGACTTCAAGTCTGCACAATTGAACTATAATTTTGCTTTATAGTCACAATTAGACATAAATTATACTCAGCTCTGTCACCATTTACTGTTAGCACTGCAGTGAAATGTTCAAACATGTTGCATCTAATTTTACCTTGAATTTCTGCACTTATTGAACTGAGTAGCTACACTGAAACAAGCATCCCATTGTGTTCAAATAATCTTATCTGCAGTAATTTTCAGGATGTGGCTTTATCCACATGTGTTTTAAAATCCCTCCTAAAACACCTACCAGTTTTTACATCAGCAAGAGACTGATTTTGAACGATTTCAAAGACAAGGTCCCAGCCACCACACAATATCACCCTTCATTTTGACGTTTCCCCTTATTTTTCAGCCTAACAGTTGAGAAGGTCGGGGAGAGCCACCCATTTAGACTTGTTGCAACTCAAAAGTGAAAAGGTTTTTTAAACTTAACCCCCACGGCCCGGTAGGGCAGCTCTGGCGCTCATTCGAACAGTACCGCAGCGAGCGGAGGTAAACGAGGAACGCACGACACTGAGCCCGATGGCACGAACCACTGCCAGGGAAGGGATGGATGAAACTCCGCTGCCCGTTCTGCGCCTCCTTACCTTAGCAATAAGCTCCCACGGCCTCTACCTCCACCGGGGCCTGCGAGGGCTAGCAGCCTGTTCTGGGGGGGCCTGCAAGAGACAGCGAGCGCTGTTAGTGCTGCCCGCCCGGCCCAACGGGCCTGCGGCCGTTCCGTCCTGCGCTCCGCGGCCGTGCCCCACCCCCGCGGGGCACAGCTGCCCCATCGCCGCACCGACGGGGCGGGCACGGCCCGCACAGGGACGCGGGGATCCCCGGCCGGCTCCGCGCCGCCCGCCCTGCAGGCCCGACGCGCGCCCCCCCCCGCCGCCCGGCCCTTCCTTGGCGGGACAGCGGCGCGCCGGGCGCTCCCCGCCTGGCTCACCTCACATCATTGGGGTCCCGGCCCGTGAGCTTGCGGATATTCTCGTCCACGTGCTTGAGGCTTTCCTTGGCTTTCTCCAGCTGCTCCTGCAGCGCACGCACCGCCACCGCCATCCCGCCCGCCGCGCGGCCTGGCCGGGCCCCGCGCGAGGCAGCGCTGGGAAACAGGGGGGACAGGTCCCGCCCACCCCGGCGGCCGCGGGCCCGGACGGCGCAGCCAATCGCACCCCGCTGGCCCCGTCTGACCGCCAATCACCGGGCACGAGAGGAAGGGGCACGCCCGCCAGGGTGGCTCGCAAAAAAGGCCACCAATCACAGAGCCTGTGGGCAGACTGGCATCTCGGCCGCCCAACTAGCGGAAGGCTCTGCCTGCTAGCTCGACGAATCAATGAAGGGGGGCGGCCGGAGTGACACGACACAGAGCTAATAAGAACTCAAGCGTCATTTCCTTGTAGCCCAATCAGAAAACCACTTCGGGGCCGCTTGTTCCCACCCGCCCAGGGCACAGCCTGCTTTCCTCAATGGGGCGGAGGAGCCGGCAGGCTCGGGACTCGGGCGAGAGCCAATCAGCGCTGAGCTACCAGAGGCGCCTGTGCCCGGCGAGCCAATAGACGGGGCCGTTAATTGGCGCTGGCTGTGGTAGAGGCCTGACGGAGCCGCTGCTGCCCTCACATCCCGCCCAGAGCGGCGTGGCAGGGCAGCTCCGCGCTGCGCGTCAGGCATGGCGCCCGGGGCGGCGGCGAGGCGTTAAACCACGCTCTTCCCCGGCTGCAGCCGACGTTGCTCTGCGGCTCCCCGCGGCGGGCAGGGGAAGGCACGGGCGCTCTCTCGGAGGCAGTGACACACGCACGCCCCGCCTGGCTCCAGCATAGGGTGGGCGGGGCAGCCCCACCGGAGGGGCGCGTTTGATCCCCGATCCTCGCTCAGGACCCTGCGCTGCCGGCGGCGCCCGAGTCCGCGGACTCCACAGAGCCTTAACCTGAGAGCCCCTTTCCCAGAGCTTCCCCGGCCCGGCCGGTACTGCTGGGCCTCGGCCGGGATCTCCCGCCGGTGTCCGGGCCCGCCCGGAAGGGGCGGCGGCCCCGGCGATGGCGGACGAGGCGCTGTTCCTGCTGCTGCACAGCGAGATGGTGGCGGGGCTGTACCGCGCCGCCGAGCAGGGCGAAGGGGTGAGTGGGGCCGGGGCCGCCCCGGGGCCCGCCGGCAGCGGCCGGGGCTGACGCTGTGGCCGGGCCCTTGTGTCTTGTAGGAGAACGGGCGCTGCACCACCAAGCTGGAGAGTATGGGCTTCCGCGTCGGGCAGGGGCTCATCGAGAGGTGAGTCCAGTCCCGGCGGGCCCTGACAGCCGCCGCTCGTTCTTGGGGCTTTCACCGCGCCGGCAAAGCACACCTGCCCGGGCAAGGTGCGCTGGTTTGGCTGGACGGAGAGTGCGTTCCTCTTAACCATCAGTCGTTCTGGCGTCTCCTCTTTTCCTGTCTCATTCTTGTGAGGACCTGGGTTTGTGTGTCACGGGGCGGTTTTGGAGTGTGTTGTTTTCCTAGCGCTTCCCGTCATGAAAACCGAGTCCGGGTACATGGTTACTTTTAATACTTACAATTATCTTTAATTCTACTTTGTGTAGACTGTTGTATGTTTCCTGCTTCTGGTATGTTTTGTGACTTCATTCTTTTTCTGATTCACTTCTTGAACATAATTTTGTGATTGGTCCTCACTGTATTTCATTTTTGTAAAGTGCCCTCAGCCCTTGCGACTCCACGACTGAGCAGCTCGGGCCCTTTGGGGACCGGCGGTGCCACTCCAGCGCCCTCGTTCCGAGGTCGTGTGTAGACTCCTGGGTTTCTGAATCATGCTTTTGTTGAATAAAGTGGGCCTTTAGTGCCAGATAAAGACCCGCAGTGAGGATCTGAAATAAGCAAGAGAAAGAAGTCCCTTCTGAGAAACGGGAACAAGTTTTATATGCTTGGTCCTATGTTAGAGCTCTTTTGCCCCATTGAAGGACACCTTTCAAGAAGCAGTATGGGTGTGAACATTTTATTTATCTTCTATTTAGATACTTTTTTGAAGATAAAACTGATGGAGCACTTTCCACCTTTCTGTATGTCAACTATGTTTGATAATCATGGAATTAAAACAATTTATTGTGCTATCATATTGCAGATACTAAGATAACACTGTGTTGCTCTTAAATTAAAATACTTGATGAATGGGCAGTGAGGCTACAATGATACCGTGCAATGGCTGGAAAACTAATTTCTATAATAACCTCAAAAATGATGTTGTATAGTACCATTAAAAATATTTCTATGTTTAATTGGTCAGGTTATGTGTACCATCATTATTGATATATTTCTCACCTTTCTCTTAGGTTTACAAAAGACACTGCCAGATTCAAGGATGAATTAGATATTATGAAGTTCATTTGCAAAGACTTTTGGACAACAGTATTCAAAAAACAAATAGATAATCTAAGGACTAATCACCAGGTACTAATGCTGTAGATTAAGATTTAACTTAGAAAGGTGGTGAGAGTTTTGAGTTGCTAGTGCATTTTTTATTTTTCTTGGTCTAAAACTAATCACCAGATAAGAAATTAAAAATGTTCCATATTTGTTTTGTTTAGAAAGCTTGTTTTTCAATATTCATATTATCATGTAGCTTTAGAGTACAATTTAAAAATTGCCTATGATGTTTTTATTGCCACCCTGTTTGAAAAGACTAAATGCTTTGAATTTCATAAGCACTGTTGCAGTGTGACAGAAAGGACAGTAATGATTACAGTTGATTAGCATTTAAACAAGAACTTTTTAATCAGTCTCTTAATAAATGTTAGTAAAAATAGTGAAAAGGTGATGTTATTGTCTAAACACCTATTTAAATAAAATAGCTGCAGTGAAGTGATTTTTTTAGTTTGAAGAATGTCGAAAGTTTTCAGCAGTTGAGACAGTTGTAGTCTATTGAAAATACTTGTATAAGAAACAGTGGAGAAAGTTCTCAGATTTGCATGTTGGTGACATTGTGCTGTATCCATGTGCTTTCCTGTATCAACCGCCACAGTTCTTAAAGCCAGACCAAAATAACTTAAGGAGCCATTTTACTAGAGTAAAAAATCTTTTTCCTAATTGAATCACTTGGTTTCCTTATGGCCATTTTCCTGTTGTGTCAAATTAGGAAGAAGAGAATTTGTACAGGATTGTGCCAATAAAATATTTTTCAGTGACTTATCAAGTAATAAGAGAAAACTATTACTTTAAAAATCTGGGGTTTAAATTCAAAAAAGCTGCAGTATTGAGCTTAAGGGTCTTAATTGTATATGCAGCCTTAATTTAAGTTCAAGTCTTATGAAATTCTGAAGTAGCACAGTCAGTAACAAGGAAATTAACATGGCAGGTGTAGCTAAAGCCATACTGTGTTTATACTTAATTTATTAAGATGCATATTGTTGCACTAAATTGTACAGTAGAAAACACCAGACCTTTACTTTGATTGTCTGCTGAGTGTAGTTGCCTGTACTGCTATTAAGAAAATAATTCCCACTGAATTTGAGAATAAGAATAGAGATGTGCAAAACCCTGTGAAGATGGATATTTGAATGTGAAAATCAGTATGCATTTGATGTATTACCAAAGACTTTCTAGAAGAAATGTACATAAACATTTTTACGGGTAGCTGATCATATTATTATCTAGAGGTTTTTTTTGGTATACTCACAATTAGCAAAATTTTCTTTTTATATTCCTTAAGTAAGTAAGTAAATAATACAATCTGAACTTAAATCACATATGTCTTAATCTACAATTTTATTTTTCAGTCTGAGATCATATATATTTTATCTACAAATCAAATCCATTCACAGAAAATGTGGGTTTTATATTACTGCACGTTTAACTAAACCCCTCAATTTTTTCTTTTTAAACAGGGTATTTACGTCCTTCAAGACAATAAATTCCGTCTCTTGACACAAATGTCTGCAGGAAAGCAGTATTTAGAACATGCACCAAAGGTACCCTTTGATTCTGTGTGGAGGAGGGTCTGCCAGTTTCATTTCCATTACCTTCATCTGTTAATAACTTTACATTTTGTAATTAAATGGATACAAACTCTTCTGAAGGGCACCTAAAGATCTGCCTTCAGAACCTGTGTGCTTCTTAGAAAGGCACCCTGTTTTAGAACAGTGGATTTGATTTAGAGTTCAGAAAATGGTCTTGGTTATTGTGAAACTTGCTGCTGTTATATTTGAGTTACTTCATGGTGCCAGTGCTTGTCTGCCACTACCTGCCACTGTCACACAGATTCTTTCTCTTCAGGAAACATGTGTTTTCAGAAACTTTCTTTAAAATTCCCAAAACACATGTGAAAGATGCTATTTGTTACATATAACAAGGTTCTGAGGTGATGTGAATGTTCAGAAAGATCTTCCACCAATTAAAAATAGTTTTGAGTGCGGATGCTGAGTTATGGTAATGGTTCAGGTAAAATCAGTCCCTCTGCAAAACCTATCATAGAGCACTTTGGCTCAGGTGGATTAAAAAAATGGGGCATTCAGATCTATTTTATGGTTTCTTAATTCTTGATCTTAGTCCTCCCAGCTGGCTGTGTCCTTGGGATTTTCTTTTTTTTGTCTTTGGTGAAACGTTTCTTCTATTTTGCAACACACATTTTAAATATCTGTGGGTGTTTGTATTCTAAGGTATGGCCTGCACAAGAATGCTGTCTTGGACTGTTTGTCCTTTGTTGACTTCAATACCAGTTGCTAATTTCAGCCAAGTCTTGGGAATAATTGTTTTAAGGATATTAAGTTCCTACAGGTTGAATGGAAAGAGGAGGTGACTCAAAATACAAAATAATGAGAACAATCTGTGTAGTGAGCTCAACTCTACCAAATATTGGAGCTTTCATCTATTAGAGACCTGACAAAGTCTCTCAAAACCTCCATGGTTTTTTGTTGTCCAAGTATTGTGTTCTTGAGTACTTGTTTTCAATCTTTATCAACAAGCTTCACTGTTGACACTCATTTGAAATGCAACTTTTTATTCAGTATTTAGCATTCACCTGTGGACTAATCAGAGGAGGCCTATCAAATCTGGGAATAAAGAGTATTGTAACAGCTGAAGTTTCATCAATGCCTGCATGTAAGTAGTACTTGGAGTATTCAATTATTAGCTCACTAGGTAACTTTCCTGACTCTGTGTTGCTGTTATAAGCATTTTTCAAGGTGGGATTTGTTTGAAGCTGCTGGGCCATAGGAGTCCATGTGAACTTCAGGATATGGCTTGTTACTATATCCTTTAGTATGTAGAAAATACTGGTAGAGGAGAAGCCTCCATGATGTTGAGTGAAAAGTAAAACTAAAAGGTTGTATTTAAATTTAGAAGCATCGCATGTGTAAGGATGTGTGTCCAGAAGGTTATTTGCACAAACTCTTTCTCTATAGGACTCATTAAGGATGTTAGTAAGTAAAGACCATTCTAACTACATAAGCTGCTCAATTAAAGGTTTCCACAGATTTAGCACAAATTTTAGGTTTAGCTGACAAAACTTCTGTGGTGTGGGACACAGTCAACTTACAGACAAAAAGAAAAGAGAGAAGCTGTTCAGCGTGGAATTAAAATTTAAATGCTAAATTTAAATAATGGTTCAATTAATTAATGCTGAATTTAAAAAATGGCTCAACTGCTTACAATTAAACTGTAAGACTGAAATGTTCCTTACTATTTCTTTGAACAAAATTATACAAGAAAATAATTACTTGGAGAAAAAATTCTAATGGTAATAATGTGATCTGACTCTGCTTTTCCTGCAGGTAAATTTCAGGTGATGATACAGAAGATGTAGAGCACGTTCAAATCTGGGTATCTACTTTAAAAAGCCTTTGTATGTGGATTCAGTATCTTGGCTCATTCTTGTATATAACATGTAAATTATAGCAGTGTGCAGCACAATTCCAAAATATATAATAAATGCTCATAGAAATAACTTAATACTATGCTTGTGTCTTGGTATGAAATTTATTCTATACTAAAGTAATAATTTATACATGGTAAAAACCATGTACTCTACATATTCAGCAAAACCTTTCAATTCCCAAAAGAGCCTGGAAGACCAGAGACAGAGTTCAACAACAGAGAAAAATCCTGACCAAGACTAAATTTGAGTAAGAAATGAATGCGTGTTGTGTTGCCTGACTTGGATGCCCAAGTGCTGCCTTTCCCCATTCACTCTGGGAGGCAGCCCTGCAGGGAGGGCTGCAAAATGGGTGATACAAACCTCTCACTTGGGGTTTGGACTTTGGACCACTGTGGCTCAAAAACTTGTCTAGTCACGAGACATGGGCATCCTTGCTCTGTTTTTAAGACAGCTTTTGTATTTCTTTGATGGAGCCTGCTAACATGTGAGATAACAGCTCACACATCATTAAAGATATTAGGTGGAGACCTTTGTAGCGTTGTAGTTTGGGGCAGTAGAAGAAAACTTGTTTTTGCATAGTTCAAGAGTTTCTCCTGTCCTTTAAATTAGCAACTGTTCCTTGTGTCAGAATGTTTTATACCTAAGGTTGTCTATACTGGCTAAAGAAGGAAATTTATTCTGTCTTGTTGTGTATAAATTCAATATTAATGTAATTGTTTTTAATTGCTAGCTACGGTTTACTTCTGTAATGTACTACTCAAAAAGTAGTAATGTTTATGTTTTACTGGAACAATTGTTTCAGTAACATGCTGGCTATAGTTGAACTGCTAAGCAGTGCTAGAGCTCAGGCACCAAAACTTGAAAAAACACACTCAGCCCTAACTCTAGATTTCTATAGTAAGGCTGCTGTTAAATAATATGGAGTAAGAAAACCCACAATGCTTAAGAACAGTCTTTAAAATCCTTAAGTTTTATTAAAAAAGTCCTCAATAAGTCTGTTAGAAAAAGAATAACAATTTGTAATGTAACGTCAGACTTCACCTAATAGCAGTGTCCATAGATTACTCAGATTGTAGAAATTTCTAACCAAAAATGTAGTTTACAAAGACAGGAGCTTGAGAGATGATGCTGGACACTTCAGTTACCACTTTACAATGATGGTGATGATGGTATTGTAGACACTGACAATCTCAGCTAAAACTCAGCTGAAGTTATTCACAGCTGTCCCAAATGCATTATTGTGAGGGTGTTCTGAAGGGATGGTGTAATACTCCAGGTCTGAACAGTGCAGTCTCTTGCTGTTAACTCTGATAATACTGTTTGTACTGTGGCAATGCAAAATACTGGATGTTCTCAAAACAGCCTAGGAAGGCTCGTCAGCCAGGTCACGTTGATCAAAGTACCTAAGGAATGAAGTGGAATATGGTAAGAAACCCCCAAGGCAACATATACCATACTTCAAGTTGTCCACCCATTGCTTTCTAGCTCATCTTTTAGTGTTTCTATCATAATTATGGCTTCAAGGTTCAGGGGGCTCATCTGAAGACAGGAATAAGCTCACTTTGTTCTTAGGTGTATCTTAAATCCTTTCAGCTAAGTATATTTGCTGCATTGGCCCAGGGTACTTTTTTATTTACTTTCACTTTTAAAAGAGTTTAGGTTAGTACAAATAATCATGCATTTATGCTGGACATACATTACTGGTTGAGGTGTATAAGTTGCATTACCTACTAACTAAGCAGATTATCAAGTTCAGAGCTGATATTTGTTCTTCATTCTTGCTCTCCTGGAAAAGAGAGAAATATTACAGCAATTCTTTTGTTACTGTGTCAAATAGAGAAGCTGTTACAAGCCCTGCTATGTGTATTTGTAGTCTTCCCTACATTCTCAAAGTAAACTTTAGACATGAAAAATTAATTATTAAGACTTCTGAAAAGTGATCCTCCTTACCTGCTAAATTCACCAACTCCTCTGCACAGTTATATTAAATCTTACCTCCAGTGCCCTGACTTCTGAACATCGTCTCGCCAGCTGTCGAATAAGGGAGTGAGCTTCAGGTAGCAAAGGTTTTTCAAGGCATGCCAGCAGTGCATAAAGCCATCTACCCTGTGAGGATTCAAATAACAGAGTTTTAATTCTAAGTATTTCCTTGAAGATTCAAGCAATTCATGTTATATAGAGCAGGACTGAAGTGTATGTCTCAAAACTGCATTGAAGTGCTATATGCAATAATTAAATTTTCAAAACCACATTAGACACTACATGGTAGAGAGTTCTGTGTCTCTAGATAAGATTCTTGTGAGCCCTACTCCTGGGTTTCCTAGCATTTTTTTAAATGCTGGCTAAGATATAAATTATTACAGCTGATGCTATTATTATCTGAAAGAAGGATTACTTTAATAATGTTTAACTTCACAATCTGTGAAAAAAACATTCCTGAAGACAGAATGCATGAACTCAGATCTGTATGGAATTAGTGGTTAGATCTGCTTTAGATTTGCACCACTGTGAAAAGATGTTCTTTGAGTTTTACATCTCTGAATTCTACTGCATTCTTACAAACCTAATTTCTGGTACCAGTCTAACTTCATAATTTAATCACAGTGTCTAGTGGCCTTTATTCTGGGACCTAACCTAAAAGTCATTGTGCACATTCTCTGCACATACATACTGGTTAAAAACAAAACAGTCTTCCACAGGAAAGGACAGAACATGAAAGGTCTTTAAGTGACTGAAAAAAAACAGTGAAACTATGCTAAGCATAATGTAATTATTCTTTTTCTTTGTGATACTGAAGGAATGAGAAGCATCCACCAAGGTCTTCTGTAGATATGGTGCCCTTACACTGCTGGTCAATCTAGTTGTGGCCAAACTCCATGCCAATGTAGGCTGTCAATCAGGAGTCCTTAGGTTTGATTTGTCACCACATGAATGCAGCTAAGCCTTCTGGTCTGTGCTCAATGAGGAAAGATTAATGTGTCTTTGCCAGCACACTGTAAAGTGCCTCCAAACTAAACTGGAGGTATTGGTAAAGAATGTGCAGCACCCTGACAGAACCAAAGCTGCTGGGATCTCTCTCCTCTCCTTAACCTTGATGCTGAACAAGCCTTGTGGCTGAAGTTATGGGGTGAGTGATACAGAGGGAGTTTGGGTAGTACTTTTTATGTCTGTATCTGTTAAGTTTTGTAATTTTAGCCTCCCTAAAACAAATGTGAATACTCATTTTAGTATCTAATCAAGAAAGTTGAAAGTAACAATGTGATACAACCATCTAGAGAACTCTTTAGAAAATGAAAATAATTTAATAGAAAAGTGCAAACAATTTATTCTTTGTTTAATGCATTCATGTGCAAGTAGTTAGAATAAATTAAAAATTACCAGTTCTGGAGTAAATTTTTTCTCTCCAAACCAGCTTATCAGGTATTCTAAGACACTGGTTACTGTTGCCTTCAAAAGAGGAACAGAAAGAGACAATATAGTATCTGCAATGTTTTGTTTTGCTGCTCTTCTACCTGAAGGATTTATTATATAAAAAGTATTTCTACTCCACAGTATTTATTCCAGATTGAAGTTACATGTAAGGGTAAAGTAAGTGTTAAAGTACCACATTTGGAAAGAACTTTGTATGAAATGACTTAATTGTGTTAATGAAAAGTTATGGGTAAGTAGCTACAGATTAGGAAAGAAGCGTCACACTGACTGGTTGGTTGTGTGTAATGGTGGCAAGTGGGAAATACAGTAAAGATAAGTGTGATTCTTCTAGCCTTGCAATGTACATAAAAGTTCACAATCAAATGGAAGAACTGCACTTAAAACACTGAGAGATTTAAAAATATTGTAAAGCAACTATTGGGGTATTCAGCAAAAATTCAAACATTAAATGTGCTATAGAGAAACTACAACAACAAAATACTTTCAGAACTAGTCATGACAAATCTTTGCTTGTAAAGTTACTTGTAACTGAATGTGAGATAATGAATACATTCCTTCTGAGTGTACAGTTAATAGAATTTGTAATAAATGCCTACTCTAGGCAAAGAAAAATAGGTAAGCCTTCTGCTACAGAACATGAGAAATAATGATTTAGGCAATGTCGCTATGTGATTCTAAGAGGTAGGCTTACCTGATTCATCCTGCTTACAATACTTAGCAAAGGGGGAAAGCCCACCTGAAAAAAGCAAGTTGGAAAATGCAAACATTATCATAAACATCTTTGTTCTAATTTAGAACATACTAAGATTTTAATTTGATGTTCAGACAATGGTAGTGATTTGAAAGTCTGTTCCGAGCTTTGAAATTTATTAAAAAAGTATCTTCAAGAAAGTTGAAGGTCCAGTGAAATATCAGAGCACCTTGCTTCTACTGTTACTTGTTAAAGTTTTGGTTTGACAAAATTATATAGTAAAGAACATATTTGTGGAGTATCACATATGAGGAGGTTAACCACATATCACTATGCAACAAAACACTAAAGCAGACTATGAAGCTTCCATTCTGTTCAGTGAGAACAAAGTAATGACTTTAGCTGACAAGAGATGAAGGAAGTCTTCAAATTTTGACCGAAAACACAGACTTAATTCCTGCTTCACTTGGTTTCTGCATAAAAAGAATGTACACTGGGACTTTCTGGGCTCACCGGAGCTTACTTCCTATTGGCACAAAGTAGTAATAAACAGTAGGACTGTTTCTAGCAGTTAGTCTAGAAAATAGCTGCTGAAAACTAACTAGAAGTCCTATACTCACCTTCAAGTAATCAATTCCTAAATTTTCATTATCAGATAGTGCATCTATTTCTGAGTATATTCTTTCCCCGAGGCAGAACTTCTTCCAGCCTTCTTCATCTTCTGATTTTGGCTGAAGTAAAAATAAAAAATAAAATTTAAAAATAAATGAAAACTGGGAATACTGTGTCCTGAAGGCACTGGAGAAAAGACTTAAATTGTTGCATGCAACTATAAAGCAAGATTAACTGTGGATTCAGTAACTGGGAAAACAAACCACAGAGCAGTGTTATGAATTCTACTCACCATAGTAACATTGCTGTCCAAATGTTGTGACCGCCAGTGATTCCTGT